TTGCTATGTGAGTGATCGTGCTCATTCTCTCGGTTTCTTTCTCTCTCTCCTTTATCAGAAAGAGAATGGGCCAGGAATTTTTGGACCAGGATATAGCAGTGAGTCCATATACATTCATAACAGATTTGTCATTTTAGGATGAACTGTTCCTTTAAAAGATTTCTGGCTCTCTCAAAGGACTGCTTTCATGGCATATTAAGAGATATAGCTGACAAAGATTTAACTATAAAACATATGATGTTGACTTTGCTTTGTTTGATCTGTTGCACTGCAACGGCCAGTACAGTGACCTCTAGATGACCTCTGAAGTTGGATTCAGATTGTAGATATTTCAGCTCCGTTAGATCACAGGATGACAGATATCCAAAGTTTTCTAAGAATTCCACTCAGATAAGATGCATATTTCATATATTGATTGAATTGCCTGATTGAATTCTGTGTATTATGATTTTGTTTTGCAGTCTTTATCTGAGGAGCTGAAAAACCAGAAACCTGCAGCTGATATTTGGATCAAATTACTCACCACAAGAAACCAAGACCATCTTAGAACTGGTGAGTTGCAAGTGTTTGTATACGTGTTTCTGGTCTAGCTATAATTTCAGGGACAAAATTGTTGGAAAATGTCTTCAGAAGATAAATGTGGAAAATCGTTCCTTAAGAACATTTAATCAAGAGGAAAATTGTTCATAAAGACACTAAATAACATCTTTAGTCTACAAATCTAAATGTAGGGATTTTACATTTTAAGGTATTTCAAAATTTGACCACTAATACTTCTGATGAAATGATTGTGCTTGAGATATGTCAGAACGTTTCATTATTACCGTTTAATATCTGCCATTGTTGGCAGTCCTAGTGTTTGGAAAGGTTGTTGTTTCCTGTATCCTTGGTACAGGTGATTACTTATGTAAAGTTTTTGACAAATTTGACGCATTCAAATCCTTGGAACATATCCATATGTACTATTTAAGCTTTCTTGTATGGTATTTGTAAGGCTGACAACAACAAATATTTCAAATGTGTGTGAACAGTAATGTTATTTCTACTTCAGTGCTGGAAGAACTGGAGTTTGAGAAAGGCCAGACAGTGGAGGATGCTTTAGAGGGACATTTTAAAGGAGTCCTCTCTGGAGACCTCAAAAAGGCCTTAAAGACACTAGGTAAAACTGGTTTATGTGTGTTTGAGGATGTATTAATGTGTGTGTGATCAATGTGTAATGATCAATTAATGTAAATCCACAAAGCATTTGCAATTCATCTCTTTCTTTTTCTCATCAGTGCAATGTATACAGAACCAGTATCTATTCTTGGCACAACGGCTCCAAACTATGAAAGCAAGCTTGGGATTTTATTTATTTTATTTTATTTTTTTACACTTTAGAAATATCTATATCTTTATAAATGTCGTTTCAAAAAGCCAAATATTAATTAATGCCATTCCTAAATGTTTTACTTTAAAACTTGATCTTGTGCATGATCAGGTTTTACCAGCATTTTGGGTGCCAAATGTCCCATCAAAGAGTAATGTAAAACCTAAAATCAACTCTATGATGGGCTAAAAATACAGAAAGCTTTATTTGAGGGTTTGGTTTGAGGTTAGTGGATAGAAAATATCATTTGTTCAACATAATAACAACAGAAGTCCTAATCATCATAGAAAAACGTTGTCTACTAGAATGCAGTACTAGAATAAACTTACATTGTTTTGCATGGCAGGTAATGTATCAATAACAAATATTTTAAAGAATTTATAGCAAGTTATTCCCTGAAATACAACATGCTAAATCCATGCAAAGCACATGCAAATGCAAAACAGGAAGTTATTTTAAACAAATATACAACTTTATACAAACACTGAGACCACTGCTTGTTTATGCACTGTATAATGCTCAGTTGCCCACAGTCTTTGTTTTTATTTTTGTTTTGAAACGGCTATAGATGTGTTGAGAGATACTATGTCCTGTACTTTTGTAGTCACCGGTGGTCCAGGGTGTGATGGTGGCTCTCAGTGAGGAGGATCTATTGAGAGTTAGAGTAGCATACCTTCAGTCAACGGGAACTTCACTGTACACGGCCTTACAGGTCTCCACACACACACACACACACACACACATCTTTAAACCAGTCTTCACCATCATTTTTTAATTTAATCTTTTTTTTTTTCTTTCTTTCTTGTTTTTCTCAGTAGAATTACAGGTCTCCACACACACACACACACACACACACACACACACATCTTTAAACCAGTCTTCACCATCATTTTTTAATTTAATCATCTTGTTTTTCTCAGTAGAAGCAGTTTAAAGGTGAACTCCAGCAGGGTTTGTTGGATTGTTAGATTAGAAGAAGTGCTGTATATGATACAAATGATAAACATTTACATGCACACAGTAAAAGCACATTCCATCAAGCTTTGTGTCTGAATAAATAAATAAAATGTTTCTGAGAATTGCAACACTGTCTTTTATGAATCCCTGTGGAAGGCAATAGTTTTAATAATGCAATTTTCAACTTTTTAAATACAATTTTCAACTTTTAATATCAGTTATGACTATTTTCTCATAATTTTCATGACTTTTTATGTCAAAATTTAGACTTCTATATAATTATGTTTGACCAAAGCATGACTTTTTTTCTTATGTGGCAGAAATGAGCTTTCACAGCTTTCACCTTAAATCTCTGGTTTATTTATTTATATTATTGCCCATTGCCCTTGAGTTTTTAAAGGTTAAGCAGAACAAGCAGTTGTTGTAGGGCACGATTCAAGACTGGACTCTATCATTTTTATTTTTATAATTTTCACTTTTGTTTGTTTTTTGGTTAATAAATCTAAAGTTGATAGTGAAAATATTGTTTTGGGGGTAAAAGTTCTAGTTAAATGGGCTAGAGGCCCATAAAAGGCCTGTGAAAAGACCAGCTATGGTCAAAAAGGCCCCAAAACGCAGTTAGGGAAGAAGTGGGGAACAATACGTGAACTATTATATATTGTTTATTTATAATATAACCATGTATATACTTAGGACTTGGGGTAAAAGGCCCTCTAGTTGTCTTTATATTTAAATAAAACAAACTTATTCTACCATGTCTTTTTACACACGTTAGTAATATTTATACACTGCCATTCAAAAGTTTGGGATCAGTGTTTTTTACAGAAGTCTCTTTTGCTCATCATGGCTGCATTTATTTGATCAAAAATACAGAAAAAAACAGTAATATTGTGAAATATTATTGCAATTTAAAATAATGGTTTTCTATTTTAATATACTTCAAAATATAATTTATTGCTCAAAGCTGAATTCTCAGCATCATTACTCCAGTCTTCAGTGTCACATGATCCTTCAGAAATCATTATAATATGCTGTTTTAATATCAATATTGGAAACATTTTTGCTGCTTATTATTTTTTTGGAACCTGTGATACTTTTTTCATGATAAAAAGAACAGCATTTATTCAAAATAGAAATCTTTTGTAATAATATACACTACCGTTCAAAAGTTTTGTTGTAGAGAAAAGTCTTCTCTGTCGTGCAAAATAATGCTCAGGAGGCAGAGTTCCAGAAGTCAAAATTAGACTTTATTGCAAGAAGACAACAAAGCCGAGATGTGTGCAGAACATCTGAATCTGTCTCTGTCCAGACTACCATCTTTCTACAATTTCATTATCGGTCACTGTCCAGTGAGCATACAGACCACTTGTTGATACGTCATTCCCAGGACTTTTCCACAATTGTCTGAAAATAATGCTCAGGAGGCAGAGTTCCAGAAGTCAAAATTAGACTTTATTGCAAGAAGACAACAAAGCCGAGATGTGTGCAGAACATCTGAATCTGTCTCTGTCACTGTCACTGTCCAATGAGCATACAGACCACTTGTTGATACGTCATTCCCAGGACTTTTCCACAATTGTCTATTAGTTTTCATAATGCTTGCTTTCATTGTAGAAAACCACCTGCTAGTCTGTTTTCAAGAAATAACTTCTCTTATCTACCCGGGTGCCCAAAGTTGCCGAGGCATATGTGACCCTGGACCACAAAACCAGTCTTAAGTCGCTGGGGTATATTTGTAGCAATAGCCAAAAATACATTGTATGGGTCAAAATTATTGATTTTTTTTTTATGCCAAAAATCATTAGTATATTAAGTAAAGCTCATGCTCCATGAAGATATTTTGTAAATTTCCTACCATAAATATATCTAAATTAAATTTTTGATTAGTAATATGCATTGCTAAGAACTTCATTCGGACAACTTTAAAGGTGATTTTCTCAGTATCTTGATTTTTTTTTTGCACCCTCAGATTCCAGATATTCAAATAGTTGTATCTCAGCCAAATATTGTCCTGTCCTAATAAACCATACATCAATGGAAAGCTTATTTATTCAGCTTTGAGCAGGACCTGGAGGATTTTTCTGAAGAACAGCAGGCGGTTTACTGTTCAGGACAAACAAGGGACTCACGAACAACTATCACAAAACAAAACAACAGTCGTGGATCATCCAGGAAATGACACAGTATTAATATATAATATTTAATATTAATAACTTTTGAACAGAGTCATTTTTATAAATTCAGTTATTATTTTGTCTTGTGGAGTATATATAAACATCCGTTATGTGAAATAGCTTATTCAAGACAGTAGGCTACTAAATCAAATAAAAACCGTGCAATTTTCATGATCCCTCTTATTTTGTGAAAGACATATGCTGCATCTATTCAGTATCAGACTACTAAATTAATTGACCCAGAAACATGGTCAACTGGATTATTTGTCATTCTTATCTTGCAGATTGTAGCTTGACTCATTTGTTTAATGTTTTCCTAGGATGTAATGAGATCATAAACTGAGTAAAAGGAAATGATTGATTTTGCTTAAACTATTTTAGTCCAGAAAAGGCTCACTTACTAAACAGTAAATACATTACTGTCACATTAAAATGAAAATCTGAATTACGCTTAACTATGAAAGAAATACATACAATCAACAGATCCTTTGCTTTATTTCAGACATTATTTTAAACTATACATTTTTCATTTGAAATCTTAGGTGCTTTTTTAGGCAGTCCTCATTTGTGATGCATCAAGCAGGTTTGTGCAACCATAACAAACATTCAGTCAATAAAACTATAATCTGTTGTTCAGTTTTGGCTTATGCTACTGTAAATGTAATAGTAATTTATATACTCATTAACAATTTATATATAAAGTATATACATATAGTCTATACTTTACCTTTATATATTACTTATATTCTATTATACTGTACTACAGTACTTTCCAAAACAAGCTTAGCTTTAATCCAGGGTGCTGAATCAAATAATGCTCAATTCAACATCATGTACAGCAGGACGGATAGAGTATAGCTGATGATGGTAACTGTCAGTGAGTCGCTGGATGACGTAGTCGTCCAAATTGAGGTCTGTCCTACTGTTGTCATGGTGGCATTCACTGGCGTTGAGGAATTTGTCATCGTGGTCATATCAGTCATGTTGCTTGGAAATTCAGTTGTTTGAATCATGGTGGGCTTTGAAGATGGAGCCGTTGTGGTTGGCTGATCTGATTGAGTTGTCACAGGGGCTTGAGTTGTATCTGAAGTATTTATGCTCGTTATTATGGGTGAAGTAGTACCAATTGCTGGAACAGTGGGTTGAGCTGTAGTTTTAGTTGAAGTCTTTACGGTTGTTGGATTTGTTCTTGTAACTGAAGCATCATCAGTTGTTGCCAAGTCAGTTGTCCCTTTAGTCTTTTAGGGAACAATTTAAAAGCTTATTAACCACTGCCAATTTTAGACAAAAAAATGAAAACATATTAAAAATAAAACATACAGTGTTTGTTCCTCAGATTTCATTGGTGTGAAACTTCCCCTTCCCTATTACTGTTCTCAATAATGTAGTATAATTGTTGTAAAAATAACTTGAGAAATAATTTCAGAGAAATATATTTTCTTGTTATCCAGTAAAAACATCTGAATATCTTTGAAGCATGATACATTTACTTGAGAAGCGGAACAGAAGTAACTTTATTACTTCATCAACATACTCCATTGTTTCAAGCATAAATCTCACTATGTTTTGTTAGTTTTTTGCTTAAAACAAGAAATTCAAATAATTTAAGAGATTTTCTGATAACAATTGTCATTTAAACAATTTTGGTTGTCAAATCATTTTGTTTTCTTTTAGTAAGATGCGTAGACATTTTTACTGGGAAAACGACAGAAAAAGTACAGATTTTTTTCTGTATATTTTACTTAGACCACTGACAGAGTTTTTTTTTCTTGTTTTAAGCATAAATCTCACTACGTTTTGTTAGATTTCTGGTTAAAACAAGTAATAAAAATAGTTCAAGATAGATTCTAATAGCGGGTCATTGTTAAGATGTTTAGACTTTTTTTATACTGGAAAACCACACAAAATTATTTTTTTCATTATATTATATTATATTATATTCCAAAAAAGTTCAATATTTGCATTCTCATATAGCTTTGAAAAGAGTTCATCAGAATCTGACCTCGTCTTAGCTTATTCAAGACTACCCGGAGGCCACACATATTGCAATAGCATATGATAATATTGTAAGATGTCTGCATTGTGTGGAGTGTGAATATAAAATATACAAGTTATTGATGGATGTGTATGTATTTACCTGAGCCTGGGAGACCAGCAGAGCCAACATGCAGAATCTTATGATCATCCACTTCATGATGGAGAGAAAACTGTAATCAGAAAAGATACCACAGAGAATGAGATTTGCTTCAAACTGCGACCAAGCCAACAGATACGCACAATGTGGCCGTGTTCTTCCTCCGCTCTTATATAAGGTTCATCTATGGGCTGTAATTATGTCGTGTTCTCATGGTCGTACACAGGTGTGGATTAGTGAAAACTCTCAGGCTGAACAGCCACTCCCTGGTCCAGGATAAAGGTGGTATTTGTTCTGGGGTGTGTGTCCAGCTTTTATTGATTTTATGATGTTACTATTTTATGGATTTTTACTGGTTTACCTTTTTCCTGTAAACCGAAACCAAGCGATTGTCTTATTCGCCTCTCATATTGCGTGGTAACATGTCATCTTTTTATTTAGATTCACTGTGTTAGAAGATCATTTAAATGCGAATGTCTTGAATTTATGCCAGTGTGGTTTCCAATTTTCTCATTATTTAACCTATTTAACCCTCCCTATTTTCCAGTTATACTTTATAACAAAGTGTTAAGAGCAGATTTAAGGATGTAATAATATTTCTTGGAAATTTCCTTTTGCTTCCTTGTTCCTCTGGATCATGTGACCTCTGGAACCTTTAATAGTCTCAATAAAGATATACACTTATATTATCAAGGCATCATTTAAACTCACAACTCAAGTGGAAAGTTTGACTGACTTGTATTAACTTATATTACCTAGCATTACATGCTGTTCATTTGATTTAGAGCAGCTTCTGTTTTCTTCTTCCCACTTTTTTTTTTGCTCATCAAAACGGTTTGTTTCCTCTATTGCCAATGTAGGTCACATTGATTTGAAGAGTGACTTTATTATAATAAAGGATAATGTGTGTATTTATATATATATATATAGATGGCATTCAGGCTTTATGCTTACGTGAAATTAATAAACAATTATGAATATATATATATTCTAATCCTAGCCTAACAGTCTACTTATACTACTAGAGTTAGTTGATGTAGCTGCGTAACACTGTCTAAAGTGGACCATTGAAATAAAGAGTAACCGAATCTTTTAACACATTATGAATATTTTTACTATTTAACCTGTCAATTTATGAAAGATATGCTGTGACTTTAATTCATATAAAGGAAATGGATCTACTTATTCTGGAAAACAAATACAATGTACACATAAGTTCCTTTCATAAGTTAATAAGTACACATACGTTAAGTTCCTTAAATGCTTTTTATAACACATTAGAATTCTGCTGGAAATCTGTCCATTATATTTTATGTTTTATTTTATTTTATTTTATCGCCAAACAGGAACTAAATATATCTCAACCTCTTGAAAACTGACTTTCTGATTCATCAAGTAAAACAAGCACAATGAACACAAATACAAGACACTCATTTTATTGATAAGTTCCTTAACAGATGCTTTTAATAAAACATTAAATTTCTGCTGTAAATCTGTCCATTTTGGTATCCCATAGTGTAGTTACAGTGCATAAAAAAATAATTGCTGTTATTAAAGTCTCCTGTTGTTCTCTTGAAGCATGTCATGTCATTCTACCTGTACTGTGACAGTGCTGACCTTCACCACAAGGAAGTTGAACTATATGCAGATAATGCATCTTTCATGAAAATGTCTGTGTACGGAAGCTTACAGTTTTGATCAATTTGTGAGACAAATAGATTCGTGTTACTCAAGTCATTAGCGTACGTTTTTAACTCCAGTCAGCAGAAGCTTTGAGAATGAAACCAGCACCATTTAAAGTAAAATATAAAGTCTATGAATAAATGAAAATAGTTTACATACAGTCACGTTTATGTATTTATTGAAATTAGTTATGTTATGTCCTTATAAAATAAAAAATATTTCTGAATGTCAAGAATTCTTTATTCATTTTTTTTCCTCACAATTATTTTATTGTTTATGTGAAAACATTATTAAAAATAAAAGAAAGAATAGACAATATTTTATCATATATATATAACAGTGGAAATTAACAAGCTAAATAATTTTTCCTGATTGTAGTGGCTCTTGATTTCAGATGGTTACTCATCAAATTTCCACACCACCAGAGATTGCCAACTGCTCATTGCCACCACAGGTACATGGACACTGGCAGGAACAGTAGACCGAATGAAGGGCTAAGTTTGGGAATTCGATTTGTGGTTATCGGTGTGCTTTTAATCGTACTACTAGTTGGGTTTGTTGTTGCTGCTGTTGCTGTTTCTGTTGCTGCTGGTGGTGTTGCTGTTGCTGCTGCTGTTGTTGCTGCTGCTGTTGTTGCTGCTGTTGTTGTTGTTGCTGCTGTTGTTGTTGTTGCTGCTGTTGTTATTGTTGCTGCTGTTGTTGCTGCTGTTGTTGCTGCTGTTGTTGCTGCTGTTGTTGTTGTTGCTGCTGTTGTTGCTGCTGTTGTTGCTGCTGTTGTTGTTGCTGCTGCTGTTGTTGTTGTTGCTGCTGTTGTTTCTTCTGTGGTTGCAGTGGTAATGCTGTGTATGGTTGTAGATGGATTTCCTGTGGTGGTCTGAAATGTGAAATAATGGGATGATTACCATTATAAATCTTTTTGCTTATAGAACCACATTACAAGATGTTACAGTCAGTGTAATTATACACAGACACACCCATGTGTGACATCATTCACCTCCTCCTCTTTATGTTATCTTGAATATCAAATATTCAAATCATACACTTTGAATATGGCATCAGGTTTTTTTTTTCTTAATACTTAAGAAAAACGTATATACAAGAATACAATGGTGTCTACATTTGTGTTTGCTAAACTATTATCAAATGAAGCATCTGAAAAGTCACACAAATAACAAAATTGCCATCATTTAAAATAACCTCTTACCCATTTAATTTAAAAAGCACTGTTTGGCATACATTTGCATTAATAGTAAATTGTTATATTTCAAAACCAGTTACACTCATTCTTTATGTGAATCTTACATCAATTTCCTTAATATAAATGCACTTTTAATTATTTCAAATAGAAAAAAGATTAAATAAATTACCTGTGCAGATGTAAATAACAGCAGAGCTGCCATGGGCAATGCAAAAACCAAAATCTTGAACATGATGTGATCAAAGACAAGAGAGGTCCTGGTGCAGGTGCTAATGTGTGGGTGCTTAGATCTTGTTTGTGATTAACAACCCTTATGAACAAGCTTTTATAGGCTACTCCTCTCTCCCATAAATAACAACAACTAACAGGATGGCAAACAGCCAATCAGCTGGCCTCGCACTCATTGCACTCAAAATGACATTTGTACAGTCTTTCTTAATGTTTCTAAAAAAAAAAGGGTAACACTTTTTATGAAGCCCGTATTTATAATACATTATATAAGGGTATTCTGAAAGGGATACTCCACCCCAAAATGAAAATGTTGTCATTAATCACTTACCCCCATGTCGTTCCAAACTCGTAAAAGCTTCGTTCGTCTTCGGAACTCAAGTTAAGATATTTTGGATGAAAACCAGGAGGCTTGTGACTGTCCCATTGCCTACCAAGTAAATGACATTGTCAAGGGCCAAAAAAGTATGAAAGACATCATCAGAATAGTCCATCTGCCATCAGTGCTTCAACCGTAATGTTATAGAGAATACTTTTTGTACACGAAGATTTTCAACAATTTTAACAATTAGTCTCCTCTGTGTCTCTCCGCATCACCGTAGCGCCATTTTGGAGAATATCTGCTGGACGCAAGCAGTGTACGCTATTCTGTGTCAGCCACGACACAAGGATGTTTTCTACGTGTATTTACGCTTTGATTTGAACGAAAACAGCGCATCTGTGCAGCATGGCTGACACAGAAGAGCTACGTGATGCGGAGAGACACAGAGGAGACGAATTGTTGAATAAAGTCGTTTTTTTGTTTGTTTTCTTCGCGTACAAACGTATTCTCGTCACTTCAAAACATTACAGTTGAAGCACTGATGACAAATGGATTATTCTGACGATGTCTTTCATTCTTTTCTGGCCCTTGACAATGTAATTTACTTGGCAGGCAATGGGACAGTCACAAGCCTCCCAGTTTTCATCCAAAATATCTTAAATTGAGTTCCGATAAGACGAACGAAGCTTTTACGGGTTTGGAACGACATGGGGGTAAGTGATTAATGACAACATTTTCATTTTGGGGTGGAGTATCCCTTTAAGGCATTATATTGAATGAATAATGCATTATAAAAAAATTTACAATATGTTGTATCATCTCATAAATAATCATAAGAACAGTTTTAATGTATTATAATACCTACTTATTTGTGATTATAGCTTTTAAGTGTATGATGATTTATAACACACAATGAACATGTTGTATCCACTTAAGTTACAATGAATTATATCTCCCATAGTTGTAATGTATTATAAGTCTCATATCTTGCCATTGTTTAAGATCTGCACAGTACATCTTATTAGTGTTTTATCTGTAAAATGACAAATACAAAGTCTTCATGAAAACATTCAAAAGACTTGATAATGCATTCTTATTATTTATAAATGGTCTTTGTCTGCTTTAAGTAAAGTAACTTCACTTTACTTAAAGCAGACAAAGACCACTTCTAAATAATACTAATACTAATGCTAATAGTAATAATAATTTTTTTTTTCTCAAACAGCCATAAGTTCAGATATCAGATCAGATGAATGTGTTCACAGTTGCTTTCAACTATTTTTATTGTAATATCAGTATGGTTATTTTGATGGTACCCTTTAGACAACTGTTGATAAGTAACTATGCAACTACATGTCATCTAGCAGTAATTGGAGTATGAGTATTAGTAGTACGTCTGCTAAATATCTATACTAACACTTTATTTTGATGGTTCCCCAACAGATATTCTACTAGCAACTTTGCAAGTACGTCAATTTATTCTACCAACCCCAAACTTAACCTAAGTCTACTAATACTCAAAATGAGAGTTAGTTGTCATGTAGTTGCAAATTTGCTTATAGTCAATAGACTAAGGGGACCATCAAAATAAAATATTATATATATATATACACAGTGTTGGGGAGTAACTAGTTACATGTAACGGAATTACGTAATTTAATTACAAAATAAAAGTAATTGCAATCAGTTACAGTTACTAAGAAAAAATGTGTAATTAAACTACAGTTACTTATGAAAATGTTAAGGATTACAA